ATGAAGTAGTTATTGATGAGGGTCTTGCACAAATTTAATATGAAAGAAACTGAAAAATTGAAACTAGAAATGTATCCCTAGCAGTTAATCCCATCACTGCTTTAACAATATCTTTCAAAAAGTTTTTTTGATGATAATTCTGGGAATGTTAGTTTTAAGTATATCTTGGACCAACTAGTTGATAAAACAGAATTAAAAGCTTTGAATTCTCCAAAATAAAAGAATCAGAAGTTCACCTTATACAAAGAATCTATAGGCCTAGTGCAAAGACAAAAGTCTATCCTTCCTTCCTTCCTTCCTTCCTTCCTTCCTTCCTTCCTTCCTTCCTTCCTTCCTTCCTTCCTTCCTTCCTTCCTTCCTTCCTTCCTGACCATACAGTTATTACCACATGACAATAACTCTTAGGATATTTTTTTTTAAATTTGAATGATGTAATCAACTTATTGATTGGCAAAACCAGTTCATTTCTTTATACAAACTGGAACTGAAACAATGTTCAATGAGTTATTTAAATCTATTCTCATATGATGACAGAGCAATAGTGCCCATGCTGCAGATTTTAAGCTTTTTCTGAAATTTCATGTATGAGGAAAAATTAGAACTCTCAGAAAATTATTTTTGCTACTAGTTAGTGGATTTTTATAGTTCATATAAGGCAATGCCAAATAAATTTTGGGGGGGTTTAAATGAGCAGCTGGACAGCAGGCAGTCTGATCCAGATTATTATATGAAATAAATAGCCTTACTTGCATAAAACTGGAAGTTTAACATTAATTTCCGTTATATTCCAGTATTATTCCATTCATATATTTTTTTTCTTTTTTATTATTTATGTTAACTTGCATTACTATTCCTACAATAGATAAAATTCAAGCTATTATTTATGTTCTAGAATATTGATGATCATCATGATTATATTATTAAAACATTTTGTTTTTGTTTAATATACTTTATTAAATTTCAACAAAAGATAAAACAGAAGAAAACAGAGGGAAAGAATTAAAAGGAGAAAGAGGGGAGATAAAAGTTCAAGGAATAAAAAGAAAAAGGAAAACTTCCATATTTTTCCCATCTAGTTTCACATTTTTCCCATCTAGCTTTAAAATTCAATAATGCACATTTCTTTATCTATAAACTTCTAATTCTCAGATATTAAGATTAAGGTCATTTTTTCAGTTTCAAGTAAAGTATCCAGCATTAGTTTCCAAGTAGAAAGAAAACTAGACAAGTATTTTCTTTAATCAAAGTAGTCAGTTTCATGATCTCCACCAATTTCATTGACTTCACCATCTATTTTTGCATTGTGAGAATCTGTATATCCTTCCATTTCTGTGCATACAAAAGTCTTGCTGCTATCATAGAAATGAAGTCCTATGTTGTCCCAAAAGTGTTTTTTCAAAAGGCAAGCAGACTTTCTTTGTCTTTTCTTGACAACATTTCACTTCACATCCAAGAAGGTTCTTCAGTTCCAATATTCTTTTTTTCACACTGCTAATCCATCAAATTTAAAGAAAAACCTTGGATTTCAGTTGTACATTTCTATAAAGAATTCTCTGAATTAAAATACATATATCATCCCAATAATACTTAGCTTTTTTACATGACTATCAAAGGTGATAAACAATATATTCAGACTGATTAAATTTCCAGCAGGTATTTTACACACCATTACACATCTTTGATAATTTATCAGGTCTTAAAAACCAATGATATATCATCTTATAAATATTCTGTTTCAAGTTATAATTCAGTATGAACAGTGGTGGGATTCAATTTTTTTTACTACCGGTTCTGTGGGCGTGGCTTGGTGGGCGTGGCAGGGGAAGGATACTGTAAAATCTCCAGTCAGAGGTGGTATTTGCTGGTTCTCTGAACTACTCAACATTTCCGCTACTGGTTCTCCAGAACTGATCAGAACCTGCTGAATACCACCTCTGAGTATGAATTTCAATTCACACTCCACATATACTCATATTGATCAAACATTATATTATGTCAATTTTTACCAATTTAGTGTTACAGTATTTAACATATTCTTCTTCCATATTCATTTTCAATAAAAATTTATACATATTAGCAATAGCATGTTCATAATTGGTTCACAGATCCAGATCGGAATTGGTTTTTTTTTCTCATTTATAAAATCAAAATTCTTCTTATCGAATTTAAATCTTTCTGTCAACTGATCATAAACAAACCACAGACAAAGTAAAAGTAAAGTAAAAGCCACTTTTTCCAATGCCTTTCTAAGTACTCCATAAAAAAAAAATCTACTAATCAGTGTAGGTCAATCAACTCAATGTGATTATCATTTCTTTTCTAGAAATAGTTCTTGGAATGACAATTATAGAAGAATTTTGGGACTTAATCTTGCTTTAAACCTGTTCCAAACCTTCAATATGGCATGCCTAACAAAATGATTTTGAAAATGTATATTAGTCTTAACTTTGTTACATTAGGTAGGCAGGCCACTTAAATGTCAAATAATGTCCTTTCAACTCAAATAATCTCCTATTCTCAGAGTCACCAATCTTCCATCCATACCAAACAATAACGTTAAAATATTTCTGTGAAACAGAAAACTCTCAAAAATATCTTTATCTTCCAGTTGACAACTTGCTCTATATTTACAGTTACGATAATGTACAAATGCTAATGGATGACACTTTTTTAACTGATGGGTGCCTACAAGTGTTTCAAGCGGGAGTGATGAAGTCTGAATTTTCCATCAGTTACATTACATTTTACATTAATGCAACAATTCTGAAAGGGCTTGTAGAAATAATGCTTGTGATGTAAAAGTTTTAAAAAATCAAACTTGAGAATTTGAAAATAAAAATGATAAATTAGGATTTAGCGAGCTATATACTGTGGAATTCAAACTGTTCCAAGTGAATTGCTTTCAGCAAATCAAAGCAAATCTGAAGCCTATGAATTTGACAGCTTTCTGAATCACAAGGCCACCTGCAAACATGGCTCATTTCCATTTTCAAAATCTGATAACAAGATAAAAGTGTAAATGGGGTTTGCATGACAGGAAGCCAGATGCTTTATTTACATCTTTTCCCCATTCTTGAGGGGAGGGAGGAGCCCTCTGGTTTGTTACTAAGGGATCTCTGAAGTCCCAGTACCCAAAGTAACAAAGTTAGTTTCACCTACATTCTTGCTCAAACTTTGTCCTATTTAAATAGACCTACTTTGCAGGTCTATTCATCATTATTTACCTCTTACTAAGTCCATAAATAATTGCTATTTTGTGCATTACTAAAGAGGGTAGAGAATCAAATGAATTTATGAATTATTATTCTTAGCAGCTAGTTTTACATTCATGCTGTCAGTAGGTGTTTTCCATGCTTTTAAAGACTGGGAGCAGCCCAAAATTAGCAATATAAAATGAAAACATAAAAATCAATGACATCCCTATAAGAAGAAGATAATGTCACAAAACAAACAGAAAAATGATCAAGTCTCCCCAAGTAGCTCATAGTTTTTCAAAAATATAATACCTGGGGGTTTTAATGTCCCAAGGTAGAAGGCCCCCACTAAACAGTTTGAATATAGAACCCCTTTACATGGCTTTCCTTCAGATGGCAGCCAATGCAGACTCCATTGTTGTTAACTGGTGTTACATTTGCTACTATGTGCTGAATCAGAACCTTCCCATACAATTTTCAAGGGCTGTCCGATAGAAAACAAACTGTAGTGGTCTAGTCATTAGATGACAAGATCATAACCTAGAAAAATGTTTTCTTTTTCATAATTTGTCACAACTGGGACACAACATGTGACTGTGCAAAGGTCATAGTCTCTATCTGCTATTCATGCATAAATTGTGAGTCCAGGGGGATACTCAGATGTTTCATTAAAGTTTGGAAATAGTTGCTATGCTTACTATATGTTTTATTTATTTTTATTTTATTTGGTTTGTCAATTGCTTACAAGATAATAGGTATAAGTAAAAACATAGTTATGAATAACATGGATACATATAAGAAAAATAAAAGAAACAATAGGACAGGGACGGTAGGCACGTTGGTGCGCTTATGCATGCCCTCTACAGACCTCTTAGGAATATATATGTATGTATGTATGTATGTATGTATGTATGTATGTATGTATGTTTGTTTGTTTGTTTGTTTTTTTAAGTTTTCGCGGGTACTTACATGTATGGTATTCAGCTTTGTTCGGGTATTTTCCCACGTCATTGTAGTTGTGCTTTTAAAGTTGTAGCAACGTTTTGGCAGAATCTCATCTGCCATCATCAGGCTTCTGTATAGTGTTCATCTGATGATGGCAGATGAG